ATTGTGAGTTTTTTTGCTTATTGTGAGACTCCAAATTTTATTGTATAATTTTCATTGTACTGTAATGTACATCTTACGACAAAGGAAGAATTTCCTCAATCCTATATATATATATATATGCGGAAGTGAAAGAGATTCTACTTCCAAGTCAAATAATACAATATGAAAACTATGCAGAAATAAGGTATCATAAGCAATTAAAACAATATTACCTTTGGAATAATCATCTTTTCGTATTTCATCATGTTGTACAAGTGTCACTTCTCGTTCATCATAACTTTTTTCAACTTTTTTCAACTCATATCGTTTATTTAAGCTTTCTTCCAATTCTTTCAGATAAACAATACACTGATCAAATAAATAATAAAAACGACGACCATCCTAAAAGTAGAAACTTAGCAGCGATAATTCGGCACCTAAGTGAGGTGCATTTTTTCTCTCTTTTCCAATATTTTCAAACACATGCATCAAAAAATATTGATATAAACTCTGAACGACAGAAACAAATGCAAAAATGAAGCAATCCAACAAAAATAAAATTATTTTTCACCTATGATAAACGTTTTATTATTATTACCGGAGAATTTTTGAATTCCTGGAAATCGCTCTTGCTGATAATTATTTTCGAAATAATGCCCATTCGTGTGAACAATTTGTATGCATCTTCCTCGTCTCCTTCCTGCATTTTCAGCTTTGCTTCATCAAAAACTCGTTCTGCATGATCGAATGCTCTATAAAAGATTTCATGCCATCATTTGATTATTTATTTTTTACCTATTATAATATTTTAGAATAGAAAAGAAAACTACAATTGAGTTAAAGTGATCTACTTCGTACAGACAAGTCGTGAAATCGCTTGCTCCCATTTTTGTTTATGATTCATATCACACCATGATTTCAAATGTTCCAAGCTAGTGAAACGTAAATCAGCGAGACGAATTATTGTGGGACGATTCAGAACCATACTATAAATAAAATATTCATAATTTCCTAAAATACTGACATTGCCAAATAATGGCAGTAAAACAGCCATGTAAATGGAATATTCACGAATTAATTTGCAAGCGATAAAGTTTGAATTCTCTTTAAGCAGAAAGAAATGCTTAATTTGGACGAATGGACACATCTCGAAATTGTCATTTGTTATATCATATTTACATATAATACCTTACTCGTTTGAAAGCGACCTTTCAACTTTTTAATTAAACAATCTGGCCAACACCAACATCTCATTCAAACTATCCACTGGAAGTTACATAGAAACTTTACGTATCGCAAACCGTACCCAAACCTCAAATTAGCATTGGTTTGCTAAATTGACCGTTTATTCGTGAACAATGATTATTCTTCTTCATTACTCAACTTGTCTCATTATACAGTTTGTCGTGATCACGAGCATACCTCTCCGATCACTTCATCTTAGCGGGTGATCTTTCTGTCATCTGAAATGCTCGGTTAGTACATCAGGGTTGGCTCTTACCGTTATTGCTTTGGTCAGTTTGTTCAATCAGGGCCAGATTTCAAATTTTGAAGCTGCAAGTCATTTCATTCTTGATCTTTTCAAAACTGCCGATAAGTCTGTGATACTTGAGTTATTGAACGATTTGTGTTTATTTGGTGAGTATTGCTGTTGAAAAGGTTACAATGGGAAGCACATTATTTGAGAAACTTAAAGCACGTTAAGAAGATAATATCATCATGCTGGTTCATTTCATTTACATCTTAATTCTTGGACGTTTTAACGAAAGTTCCAGTTTGGAAGGTTTCCTACTATCAAATGATCTATTCTCCCAAAGGGTAGTTATTTCCAGCTCCAAAGGATAGTTATTTTTAGCTTTGATCTATCTGGATGCATTACTTTACCTCATAAAGTAGTTACCTCATAAAAATTATGATGAAATACCTGTAAAGGGTGTTTTTCACGTCAATTTAAAATCATCTCCTTCTGATTCATCACTTCCGACTATTGTTTTCGGGAAAGATATGAAGGAGATAAGAACACTATTGATTGAGAGAGACAGAATCCTTTCGTACCAAAGACAGATGTAGTATTACAGTAATACATTGTATTGGGTCGCTGTCCGTATTATAATTGTTAACTGTTATAATAGCGATAGCGTTATTGATTCCCTTACCACTTGCTGTTACCAAATTTTGAATTTTATAAAGAAATTCAAAATTTGCATATTTAATTTACATATATGTATATATGTTTTTTACCTATGAGTTGACCTAAAATGTATATTAATAGTAGAAAATTGTTTTATCTTCATTGCCTGACTGTTTTCGTTGTATATTCTAGATTCTTTAAAGAGGTTTTTTAATGCATAGTTACAAGGAGCTCATTGATGTTGTGATTTCACTTTGAAGATTTTTAATATATCGAGTAGATTTTATCAATTTCAGTTGTGGATAATATGCCTATGTCGAAAGCGGAGGTTACTAAGCAAGAATCAATCAACGATACAGAAAGCCCGCTGGAAACAATCGAAGAAACGGTTCAGTTTAACGATAATGAAGATGAGACAAGTCACATTGAGGTGAATTTTTAGTAAATCATTTTACATATCAAAAAGCATGCACTATATAGAGCTCAGAAAACGAGCCATTCTAAACGATAGAATTAATCGTATAAAATGCTGTTTTGTATTGTTAGACAGTTTTTGTGTGATTTATTGTTTATGAAAATAACTTCATTTAAATATAAAAGGAAGTGGTTAAATCTGAAGATATTAGAAAGTTTAGTATTCTAAATTTATGGCAACGAGTGGGACTTTTAAGGAAATACCTTTCACAATGAAAGAAGATTCATGAGTTAATAAACGTTTGCAAACACTTAAATATTTCATCATGAGTTAATAAACGATTGCAAACACTTAAATATTTCATCGGAACATATTTTCACAAGCTTTCGAATTGCAGTTATGCATGAACATAGTTAAAAGAGTTGCTTATTCAGTGGTAGCTGAGTTATTTGATGATGTTTGTATCGTAATAACATACTTTAATCTTCGTCTCTGATCAGTAAATAGCACTCCGTTCGCTATTGTTTTAAGATTCAAATCGCATAGCTACTCGAGCCCAAGTAGTGGAGGCATTCCTTTGTATGGTTTTGCTTCCCTTACTCAAAGAAATATTTTCAAGAAGTTTTTCAGCGATCTGAGTCTCACAATCCTTCTGCAGCAGCTTCAGAATCACTTGCACGTCATCCCTTACAGTGCAGATGGGCTCTTTGGTATTTAAAAGCTGATCGAAACAAAGACTGGGAAGATTGCTTGAAACAAGTAGCCGTTTTTGACACTGTTGAAGACTTTTGGGCGTAAGTTGACTTTCAGACTCCTATATCAATCTTCATTTGCATTTGCCTTTCATTTCTAAAAATGACTTGCACTTATTTTGAATTCTAACTGCTGTAAATTCAGATGATTCATTTGCATCTGTTTCATTATTTTAGTTTGAACCAGCTCTTGCTTCCCAAATGAAATTGATCATAGACATTTCAACTTGATATTACAGCTCAGTACAGCTTTATAAATATATCAGGATAAACGGTCTTTACTAGAAAACAAATTTGATTTATTTCAGCTTGTACAATCACATTCAGACGGCTTCGGGTCTTAATTGGGGAAGTGATTACTATTTATTTAAAGAGGGTATTAAACCAATGTGGGAAGACGAAAATAATGTGAAAGGTGGTCGATGGCTCGTTGTTGTCGACAAACAGAAACGGGCACAATTATTAGACCATTATTGGCTTGAGCTGTTGATGGCAATTATCGGAGAGCAATTTGAAGAACATGGCGAACATATTTGCGGTGCAGTGGTAAATGTTCGACAAAAGGGTGATAAGGTTGAGAAGATTCATTCATTTTGGATTTTGTTGTATAACAGTTTGGTTTCTTAGAGAGCAGATAAGGCATTAAAAGCTCTAAATGTTTTATAAAAACATTAACTGATGTAGATGCAAAGGCAGTAGCTCATGCATCCCTATAGTTTTCAGGTTTCTTTATGGACACGTGATTCGTTGAAAGATGATGTGAATTTGCGTATCGGACAAATTTTAAAGGCAAAACTTGAAATTCCTGATTCAGAACCAATCCGCTATGAAGTTCATAAGGTAATTGGACGTTCATTTCTGAACTGTGATGAAGTTGAACTGTTTTGCTTTAATAACATTTCCAATTGTATCTCACTTTCAACAATAGCGACATTTTCCACCGTGATTACATTTTGCCATCTTATGATGCTGCTGGTCTTGTAGCACATAATGCAAACTTAGTACTCCAAGGTCCTACACCATTATAGTTACCGTGGTTGAATGAAATACTCTTATGGTGGGTTAGAATATTGACGTTTGTGTTTTCTAATAGGTCTGTTTTTGTCTTTAGGATTCATCGGTGCGTACAGGTTCGATGGTGAAACCCCGTATTGTCATCCCAATGAAAGAAACGAGGTAAATGCGGACAGAGTTGTATTGTACACGTATATTTATTTCCTTGAACGAAGCTGATTGCTTTGTTAAGAACCTAGAATACCAGCTGATGTTTAGCTAAGCTTCAGTTGGCATTCTTTCAGTTCTTTTTTGCGTTCTAATGTGATTTTTATCTAATTTTATTAGTTGTTAAAAAAACTCGCTTATAAATTCACTTTTATTGAAATCATATTTAGAGCATAAATTATTTGAAAACATGCTTTTTTCCAGCATATAACGCCCGCTGAATTTTACTGTCTGAATTTTTCGTTACCATTGCACATTATTGCCGCACATACATTTCGGCTCATCTTCACGGCATACTTGACGGCCCAAAATATTTGTAGTGTATGATTGTTACTTATTGGATGCGGGAATCAGGAACTTTTAAGTTAGAACTTCGAAATGATATGTGTTCAGCTTTACTCATGTAACCTTGAAATTATCTTTTTTCTATCTAGCTGCTACATACATAGTTCCATTTGTGACATTTCTAAAGCTGTATCTTATGTTCAGTCAGGAATACGAAAAAAAAGCCTCAGTATCCTAAAAAGTATTGAAATGTGAAATTAATACGCTTAATATATTAGCAGTAGGTACTCTTGGTTGAGCAGGAGTACGAACTTCTCTTTCTCAAAGCATATGGTCTCCATTTTTATTTCAAAACAATTTGTAAGAAAACAACTCGATATGCAACACATGAAATTAAAATGCTACAAACTTAGCAAAAGAGATTTCCTAAAGTGAAGTGACTCGAAAAACCACGTCGATTTCTTACTACTACTGCTGTCATCACGGAAATAACACGGATTAAGGCGAGGAAATAATAAGGTTTTCCGGATTGATTTACATCGATTTCCATAAGTCAGCAAATAGATGCAGGTTTTGATGCCAACTGAGTTTCTCGATGACTCATTTCCTCCAATTCTAGCTCCTGGAAATGTTTATTTCTTGTTAAAACCGGAAAATGAGAAGTAAATTAAAACTGGAGGGTAAAATTCTTTTAATTTGTTTAAGATCAACTGCATCTATTCCACTTACTTTCCACCCGATTATCCACATTTAAATCGAGTTTTGAAATTTGTAGTTAACAGCACTTTCATTCCGCGAATTATGAAGATATGCATAGTAGTGTTTTAGAAAATAAAGCTACAGCTTAATTTTGAAGAAGAACCTTTTCTGCATCTCTCTCGAACTGTTCATACTGCTCTCCATGCCTTTTCATCAACTGTTCCTCATGTTTCTGGGCCCTCAAATAGTGCTAACATTAAAAAATATGAAATTAATATAAAGATTCGCTCTTTGAACAACAATTCGAGAAACCAAACCATGTGAAGTTCCATAATAAATAACTACTCACTTTATAGCCAGCCTTTTCCGTTCTTCGCAGAATACTTTCAAATTTTTTTCATTCATTTCTTTTATTCGTCGATCCCTTTCTGCCTTTGTTTTGATGGTTTTATCCTATTAAAGGAGAAAGATTCAAAGTTTTATATAATACTTTCTGCAGAAATGCGTACTGCTGCAGTGAAACAAGAACAGATCAACCGTGTCCAAAACGAAATCCGATAAGTACCTGTTGTATAGCTCGAGCATCGTCCATACTCTTTTTTGTTTGGGCTTGCTTCAAATCTTTGTTCTCAGCTTCAAGCCTTAGCTTCAACATATTCATTTGCTGTTTTTGAGCATCTTGAAGGAGTTTCCTGAAATTCGTATAAAGGTGAACAATGTGAGACACACCACTCATAAGTTTTCAGAAGTAACGACTAGAAATAAGCGTGATCGCCAGAAATCCCACTTATTCGACACAGTATATTTCTCTGTGCATTGATTTCATGATGCTGTTCATCTCGGTGTTTCACATACTGCACCATCCTACAGTTTTGATTATTTTGGGAAGTATGACCTCCATTATTCCAAACTGCAAACCTTTGCACTCACATGCCGGCGATAACGTATTAAGCTTGGCTTTTGTAGAGGAAGATAAACTAAAAATCACCCTAAACAATCAAATTCTTCTTTTATTTGCGCTCTCCTTAAGTCGTGACATTCTCTTTCATGCCTTCGCATCATCGATGACCATTCATCAGTTTGAAACAATACTAAAGATTTCATCTGAAACATAGCACTCTAAATTATTCGAATAAGAATAATAAATAGTTGAGTCAAAAAAATCGATTCGCAAAAGGATTTGAAACTAAATTCGGATATCTTCTATCACTAGTCTTGAATGAATTCTAAACTATTACTGCAAAGATTCTCCAACCTTCCTTAAAGAATCAAGTTACGAGCTCACATCCTTTTCTGATTTGAATTTCTCCCATGTAAACTTCTTAAGCGATTATTTCATAAGCACAAAAAAGACAACACACTTTATAACTATTAGTCATGTCGACATTGCGTGATATTGGTTCGGATTTCATATACGATAGTGATTGATGCTTTTGATTCCCTGAATTATTAACCACTGTTCGCCATTTAGAATGCTTATAACTGTCACAGATCAATTTATCGACATTCATTTGCTATAATTGATGGAATGCATTAATAAAAGGAACTAAATATAAAACTCCACAGAAGCATTCAATCTCACCAACTGAAAATGTTAATAAACGCATTTAACTTAGTACTTCTAGATTCTACCATGTTATCAATGATGCTACCAATATGCAGTGTAAAACAAGTTAATGCTGATATGTACATTTTCAACTACTATGTTGTGAGTGTTAAGACAGACGATTTTCCGTTCATTTATTCTTGGTAGAATCAGTTCAACTGCAGCAGTTCAGAAAGTAATTAATCTATAATAGTATAAATTCGGAAAAGTGTGCTGCTTGATACGAATTGAGTTGAACTGCAGATGTGGAAACTTCTTCGATTCGAATAGAAAAACATCTGGACTTCAAACCTCGATATCGCATATAGTATTTCAATGAATAATATTGTTTGAAATAGTTATATTTATAAGTCATAGAGTTTTTATTCACTGAAAGGATTATTACATGTGATTTGAACTCTTTCAATATTAATGACGAAAAAAATGTATTTAATAGTGATTCGCAAAAGCAAGTAGTAACCTGCTGCTTTTGAATTAATTCTCTCTGTTTTTGATGTCGCTTCTTTAGTTCGTTCATATCTTTTTGAAATTTCCGAATCAATTTTTGGAAACATTTGTCTTTCTTCAAATCGCTAATATTGATCGCTTCCATCTGAAAGCAGTCTAATTCTTCAATGATTACCGTGATAAATGCTTTTAAAGATATATGCTTTTGGCATTCCATCATTTGATATGGTTTTTGTAAAATTATAAATGATAGTCAATCAATGCTACATTCAAATATGTTCCATGCAATTCAGAATTAGCTGTATCTTTCAATTTTCACTTCTTGATGAAGTCATTAAAGAAACTTCGTCTAAATTCCATTCACCACAGTTGAAACAGAAGACTCTTCTTTGAGAAATAACATAATGAACTGATCAAAAATAGTAGGAATTACAAAAAAGAGAAGATAGTGAGTACAACTTTTGGTTTTTTTTATCTCAATCAAACAATCTGTGATGAACGAGTGATGCATTGGTTACCTGTACATGCATCACTGCTTCTTGACATACGAGTGGTTCGATGCAAATGTTTCGACAATAAAAATTGTTATTAAATAATACAGCATGACATAGAAGAGGAAAATGAGTAACTATAATGCAGGCAGCTTCTTAAACAGATTCCCATCTCGCGCTTTAGTAATATTCAAAGCTTTTCGATTCTTTTGATGACAAAGTCAATTTTACTAATTCGAAAGAATTCATCAGTAGCTCATTAATGATGATTTTATGAGCCTCGTATACTCCGACTGTTTTACTATTATCAATTTCTTAAACAAAAATGGACAATTACATGTCATAAAATACAATAAAATTGCATGATTGTCATCAATAGATTTCAAAAAATGCAAATGCAATACCTTCTGCTTGCCATCTGTAGCATCCATATTCGGACGAGCTGATTCTTTCGATAATAGTGATGACTTCGGCAATCTGAAAAAGCTATAAATTTATACATTTCATTTATTTGAAAATCGTCTGCTTAAAAAGGATGAAAGATTCAGTCAATCATGAATTTAAAATGATAAATGATGAGAAGTGAAAAAAACTGAATCTCAGATTATTTGCAAGTCATTCTGTGTGTAACGCATCATTTCGTGTTGACTGTTCTCAATGATGGCACCAAGATTTAGCACTTACTCGCAGTTTTGATCTAGTAAACTGCCATTTATTCGTGACATAGTTTTGTTTGATGTTGTCCTCAATGAACTCGATGTCACTTCCACTATATCCGAATCTTCAACGCCCATATTATGTAGAGCCTCCGTTCGTTTTTCTTGTGCAGAAACATAGGCACGTGGATCTGCCAATGCATCAACTAGACCTTAAATCATATGCAGAAATACTTTAAATGCAATGTGTTTGACGCAGAATGCAGAATACTTTAAGGAATGCAATGTGTTTAACGGCTATAAAACTAGTACAACAATTTAAATCATTTTAAATAAAATAATAACAAACTGACTTTATGCATATTTTTACTATTTCATACGTTTTTGTATGAATAAGCAAATCATAAATACTCACCGCTGAGCTCATCGGGAACATAAGTCTTGATCACAATACGAACAAAAAGACATGACAATACCATGGGTAGGTTCGACTCTGTACGAAGTGTTATATGTCGATAGCCTGCTTGTAAACCATCTAACGGTAGTATTCGTTGCCCAAGTTGTTTTCCATTTTCATCATAAACAGCAAGACGCAAAAGCGCTAATTCTGGTAAAACGACCTATGAACAAATAAGACAAAATGAATTCGGTCATCTCCTCTTACTTAACTTCAAATTCAACTCCCAACGTCTTTACTTCTCATAACTTTCAACTTATAAATCACCTTTCTGAAAACAAAAGGGTCGCTGTTATACACAGGATTCAATCCATTTGCAGGTACGGTACGTGTTCGATGTTCTTTTCGTATTGTATCTGTTGGAAGACCATACATTTCTGCCTCTACATAAGTGCCAATTTTTCTATCACATAAAAAATGACCTGATATGATCTGAAAAAAATAATTCAAGATTGTTTGGTGTTTTTCTCATAATGTACTTTCTATGAAAAGATATGTTTTACATACTTTTTTAAAATTCTTAGATTATTAAATAATACCGTAACATCCGCAAACAGCTTTTAAAATTAAAAAAAGTAGATAATGCAAAGATCACTAACCTTCACGGTGCAGTGTGCTGCAATTACACCATCAACAGGAGATTCCGAAAATGGATCAAACGATCTGTCAGGACGTCTCATGAAATCTGGCTTTAAAAGATACCTGAAACATTAAGCAATAATTAGAATAGTCTTCGTTATCGAAAAGTTTTAGAATTCTTTACAAGCATAATCGCCGTTTCTTTCTATTGGATTAACAGAGAAATAAAAAGTAAGTCGTTGCAAACTGTGCATTTAATAGTATAAATCAGCTGAAAAAGTGGTGTGGAATTATTTTAAGGTTGCAAGAAATTATAAATGTAATCATTTTTTATTCAAAATATCTTGATACTAATCATAAAAATCTTTTCCAAGAGAAAACATACCCGCATCCACCGTTATATTGAAATTTTCCTTGATTGAGCTGCATAGATATATCGGGAGTTTGAAAATTTAATGCTACCATCTGGCAACCGGCATTCCAAAATATCTGCAATTCCAAACCGGACTTGGACTGAATTCATATAAACAAAAATTCGTCAGGCTATATATCTGCTTTCTTCTATGGTGCAACCACAAAATCTTCATTAATGAAACCAACGTTTCATGAAGAATAACGGTAGATTTATTTAAAATCTTGCAACAATGAAAAGTCATTATCAGTAAAGAACGAAATTTATCTAATTAGAAAAAATAAGCTGAGGTGTAATGCAATATTATTTCAAATACAGCTAAGAACAAATTTACCTGAGGCAAGAAGTTGCTAGAATCTACGCGAGCGCCTTTTGGATATATCCTGCACAGTTGGCGCTTATTATAATTAACGAACTCTAGGGCACTCTGCTTCAGGTATCCCAAACCCGTACTTTCGGAGAATGAAGACATGTGGAAATGCAAATTATTCGCTAAAAATGTATTGTAGTAGATTTAAAAGCAGCATTAAACAAAAACCTCTTGATTTCTAGCACAAAACCTAATCTGTTTTTTCATTAAAAAATTTAAAATATGAAATAAAAAGACTGCCAAAATTAAGCGTGGAACCAATATTTAAGCACCTTCGGCAACATCGAAACCAGAAAATTTCACTGGATGAGTATAATTAACAAGGCTTGATAACAGAGGATGTATATTGGTGGTTGCACCCGTATAATGATATTCCGCAAAAATGCGCTCCTCCTCTTCTTTTGTTAATTGTTGCTAAAATGAAGCAATAACAATGAAATGAACAAAATCTAAGATTATACCAACGCTCAAAATTCAAAACTATTCTGGAAATTTTAAAAAAAAGATCTCCTGATTGTTCTCTATTGAAATGTTATTATGCTATCTAAACTCTAAAAATTAGTGCAAATTTTTTAAAGTCAGACAAAAGCTAAGAAGAAGCTTTTACTGTTTGTCGAGAGTATCGGGCTTACTAAGAAAAATGTCACTGTCTGTAAGAAGTAAAAACAAAATTGTATGATACGAAAAAAGCACGAAAATAAAATTAAAATGATTAGCGGCAACCTCACCAACATTTGGCCAAATGCATGCAGGTTGATAAGAGGCATTTCTATTAGCAAAATAATTGAAAAAATTGAAATTACTCTTCTCTCTTAGATAACATAACAAAATGGCACATTACATAGAAGAGCCCGAAAAGAAAACAGATACTTATAAATGATTTGGTTGCCTTTTGCAGATAACTGTGATTCATTAATATCCATAAGTATTGCATTTCTTGATGTTTTCAAAAAACACATTTCTCAATTTCTGCGATATAGCTAACCTATGAAATTTTTTAAAATATCTATTCCTTGTAAAAATTTCTGGCTGCTCTTCAGTTAAGCAATTGAACGGCAGAAGGAACTGGATGTAGACTAAAAATATTGCATTTATATATTTTTCACCTCAATCTCTCTTCTATTAGATGAATGAACTTGAAACAGCGAATCATTTTATGCCATTCTTTCCTCCTGAGATATATTAGTGCAAAATAAATCGTTCTAAAATGATCAAATTATCAGAAATATTATTCAGATAAAGCACCTTTAAATAAAACTATAATACGTGCTTAAATCATGCACGCAAAATATCATTCCATAACAGTTAGCATATATACAGCTTAAACGATCAAAATAACGCATGATTCCACTGGAAAATTCTTGAAAACATCCTCTTAAAATGAAATAGATACTTGTCTAAATTTGAAAAGAAAAATTTTTTGTTAAATAGTAATTACTGGCTACAAAAATTTCATCATATGAAGACACGCAAGCATATTTGAATAGCTTGATCGTGCAGATCATATGTTCTCAAAGCAGTAGCAGTATTAGGCTAACTATCACACTCACAAATAACACCAAAAAAACAAAACAAGTTACTATAAGTTGACAAAAATAACATTACAACGGCGTTCACAAATGCCAACTGTTTCAACCGCTTAACAAATATCACATGTTTGTGATGAACGACCTGAAGACAAAACTACCTGAAGACAATTTCACAAATACAGAAACGTTGTGCACATGAAGGTATTAGGACGATCATCCAAAAAATTACATTTCCATCATTTTTTTTATTTTCCAGCAAATCTCGTACTCGTCCTATCATCCAAAAAACTGCATTTATATGAACAGAGAAGTATTCAAAATGGTGTGCGTGAATAAGGTGATCAAAAAATGAAAGTATTACAAAACTGATGGGATTAAATTAAAACCCATGCAGATTATCTCATGTAACAGCCTTGGTAAAATGATGTCCATCCCAACTGATCAAGAGTACACACCAAAAAATCCTACATTGTTCTATTCTTACTTGATCCTATGTTAATTCCTAATATAAATTGCCTTTTTATTTTTCTGCCTTGTTGATAAGTGACGCTGTGGCTGTGGATCCAATAATGCGGCACTCAAACTCCCGCCACTGCTTTCACATTCCGGCACACGTGAAGCTCGCCGAAATGATCGTTTGCTGCGGAATGATGATGATGGAAATATGGGTAATGCCACATTTCCACTGATGTGTGGTGGTGATTCAATTCCAGACTGTGCATACAAAATAATTGTAGCAATTGTATGAACAAGAAACAAAAACTGCTTGCCAAAAAAAGGAAAATCCACAAATTATTAATCAAAGATAGATTTAGAAAAAAAAAATTTTGATCGAAAATGACTAGTCAGATATTCCTAGACCTTGTTTCTAATACAACACCTGCGTCATGCTATTTTTATAAATGCTGTGAAGCAATTATCTCCAAATTTATCTAGACAGTGATACAAAAATGCTAATATAGCAATAGAAAAATGGTACTGAATAAATCGTAGCAAAACTCATCTGACGCAAGCAACCAATTCTAAAAGCATTAGGAAAAGCATCTCAAATTAATTTTTTGAATTCAAATGATTCAAAAATTAAAATGTTATTAAGCCAACCAAAAAAAAGCAGAATTATTTTTACCACAAACTCATTCATTAAATTGACATTTTAAAACTCTTCAAGAGAAAGCTATGAAAATCCAAAATTTCAGGGATTCTTCCTTATTTTTTGTTGTCTAACTTGAAAATTCTTTCATCCAAAAAATAAAATGTAGGAAAATGAAATCCTGCCGTTTCAATTTAATTCAGAATGAAATCTAAAACTTAGCAAGCAAATCAATTGATAAAAATAGGATGTAAATAATGCCTGAGGTTTCTTGGTAACAAGAGGTCTCAACTTTGATATGAAATTTGTTTGCTTCAATTCAGGATGCGCTTCATCCAAATCTCTTAATGGTCCATCATCTAAAATAATTTTCTTGGGCAGAAAAATCATTTCACATTTCGGATAAAAAGATAATTTCAAAGTAAATGAATGATTGACATTAATAGAAAGATCCCCAATTTAATAGCTTAAGACCGATTTTTGTTGAAATAGCAAACTTTTTTAAATCTTATCGCATTTATGTTCATCAAAGCATTAAAATTTATTTTTTTTATTTTCCTGAAAGGAAATAAAATTATACTTGCGTCTAATGTAGACGTTGACTGTGCATCACAAACTTCTACCTCCGGATGTGCTCTCTGATCATCAAGTGCTGCAAGCATATTATTCTTTCATACAATTATTTTAGTCCCTTTTTGTCCTAGTACAAAAGAGTTCAAAATCTTCCAAATGAGAAACAAAAATAATTTGCAAATAGATTATAACAGTTAATTACGTTAAGTTAGCTGCTAATAAAACTTGTTACTAATAAACAGTTCGATTTGATCTTATTTATCACTAAACTCTTTCTATTTAACGCTGGTAACGTATTCGCTGACACTATCAAGAACGTTCAATATTTGAAGTAATCGACTTCTCAACTACTATATTTGCACATTCACTAGTTAACGAGATACTTAGCAGCGAATTATCTGACGCGCAACACGTGAAAAAGCACCAAAAATGATGCAACAATGGTACTGAATGAATCGTTGCAAAACTCACATCTGACGCAATATGTTATAATTATATTATGACATTATAATCAGAAGTTATTGTTAAAATATCAGTTACAACTCATTATATTAATATAGAATATTAGCACCGCGCCAATCAGCAAAAATTATGCTTACAAAATGCTGAAATTTCCTCGCCGACAATAGCTTCTGGATTTTCGATCGGTTCATCTTCTTCATCTAATTTACCCTCGCGCAGAAACTGCTCCATTTGTAATTTTTCAATATCCGCTTTTAATCGCTTATTTTTAATCAATATTTTATGTTTTAAACGATTGGGTGACGGCAGTTGTACTCCTGGTTCAAGCGGATTATCATCCAAAGGCTTTGATAGCAACATATCACCAAGTATTTCCATGCAGTATTTTGCCATTTTGAGTTGATTTGATCTAGAGCAATGATTTTCGAATGATAAAATCACTGGAAAATCGGACCTAGCGAAAGCAGTGTCTCGAATTTGATAGAGCACATCCTGAAGAAATTTTGAATATACAGAATAAAAAAAATTTCTCAGAAATCATGTTCATTAGTAATGCTTTCATTAAAAATTTCCATTTTTAAATAATTCCTTTTTTCGAGAAAATTATAGAAAATAAGAAAAGATTCCGAAAGTTATCTATAATCTCCATCATTGAATTTAAAGAAAAAAATATATAAATAAATTATAAACTATCTTTAATAAAAATGATGATGGCACAACCAATAGCCTACTTTGAAAAAAACATCTGTACACATTGCTTTGCCATGGGTGATAATTGGTTCACCTTTATTTTCCCCAGTACCATCCCAACAATCTAATTCAATACATCTGCAACAGCACAACGCAATGAAAAAAAAACATTTTACAGTACTGATTTATTTAGCTGGAATTATTTGTTACTTAAAAATACGGCTCAGATCTATTGAATTTAAAAAAAAAATGATTACCTACACCCCGACAGTAAAACCTGACGGTAAATTTCAGTTGAACTTTTTCCTCCATATTGTCTTCCTGTGAGATATGTGTTGTGTGAGCTGAAAAAAAGAATGCTTTTTATTACTGAGTTTTTCAATGAATTTCGAGTGCATAGCCTGGTACAATAGCAGGGAGCAATCTGTTACATCAATAATTCAGTATTTTCATATCACAGTGGAAGAATGATGATTTAAAAAACATCACACGAATATTTTTTGTTTCTGATCTGACGGTTGCAGGAAAATATTAGATTTATATATACCTATTGATATAATAATGGCACAGAGGTTGATCCATATCTTGATAAAGTTCAACTCGATCTAAAAATACTGGTGCATTCTCATCAGACATCAAAAACCGTAAGAAAGCATCACCAGACATTTTCCCTGAAGAAAAAAACCACTTTATTAAGTTTTATGCCATCTCCAAACTTAAATTTTATGCCGTTTAAGAATAAAATTTTATTTCTGCGAGAAAAAATTCTACCAAAATTAATAAAAAATCATGACAAATTATTCAAAAAGTACCATTATTTATATAATTTTCATCTGTTTCGTATTTTGATATTAGATTCAATACTCTTTTATCATCAAAAAATGGGAACAATATTTCGTTCAGCCGAGGATCTCTCTGTTCTTCATTCAAAAAATTTATCAAACGATCTTTGGTAAGATATTCTTTCTGACCACTTCTGCAAAACAAACAGATAATAAGAGGTAATCATGATGCCAACAATCAACTTCAGAGATAAAAATTAATTTAGAAAATACACTTATTTTATCACTAATTAATCAACCAAATTGTTGATATGCAAAAGAATTTGCAACAGCAATAAACAATTCTTTTCATTTATGCTCAGTTAAATATTTAGCGCTTTCTAAAATTGAAAAAGTTTCAACAATTACTTCAATAGTTAACACTGATTGTTACTTACAGTTTTACAAATAATTCTTGCACATCACTTCGTGGACAAATTTTATAATACAAGCGCAAATATTTGTCAAAAGTAAATAATTTCACATCAAGCTCATCATGCTCCTAAAAAATAGAATAGTGGAAATAAATGATTATGCAATTAAGCTCCTTGAATTGACAAGTATAAAAACAGGTAAAATGCTGCATGAGAGATACTGATAAATCATTCCTAGAGGAAATATGTATCTGAAACAAATCTTATTTTTAAAGCTCAAGAAAACACATACCTTATTGCCCGAAAGTCCAAGATCACTGAGACATTTCTGTACCATTCGATCTGTTTTACCACCGGAAAAAATTTTGACAATATTTTTTATGGGAATTTTTTGATGTTCATTCAAACAGAGACACAAATATCGCCAACTGAAAGTCCGGATTTGAAAATAAAATGTTGAAATTTGATGGAAGTGGAAAATTAATCGTAAATGTAAGTAAGCAGAAGATTGAAACAAACTTCTTCATCAGGCTTGTTGTATAAGAAATATGTCGCATCTTACTTGTTCTTAAAATTTCATTTAGGCCATTTCGCCAGATCTAAAATTTCACAAAAAAAGAAATTCGAAATGCTTGTACATAAATGCTGTATATGCTTCGCTTTCTGAATGCATTTTTTTTAATACAACAACTGAAAATATTGTAAAAAATATCCTAAAGTCCTTGATCACATCTATTACGTTTTAGAAGATATAATTATGGGAAAGAATAGGAATTATTTACTTTGGCAATTTCAATATCTTCCGCGACCAAATAGTAATTGCTAACACTGACGAGATCAGGACCATATGTAAGCCAAACTGTTCTGTCTTCAATGGTTTCACGAGGTCCATGCTGTTCCAATTCAAACATCACCCGCCCATCTTTTGGTAATATACCACGTCTTGCTTCCCAGACCTAAAAGAAAACATATAGTTCCCTACGAAAGAATTAAGTATTAATTACACGGAAGGAAGAATTTAGAATCAAGATAAAACAAAGAAACTCAATATTTTCGTTAAGTAGATATTTCGATGGCTAGGAGATAAAATGAAACTGTATTATGCAATGCAAACATGCAATTGTAAATTATTAACCAGAATAAGGTCGAGCACCGATGTATCTTTCCTTTCTTCTGATGTCCAGTATAAAAAAAAACCATATTCATCTACACGAAGAAATGTGCCACATTCTAGACAAATACTTTCCTGCAACTTTTCTTTTAATCAAACATCTAAGCAGCGATACATAGTAATCACCAACTAAAGCATATGAATTTATCACAATTTCAAAAAACATATAAACATGGTCAAAAACAATTGCATTCCAGTAAAGCTTTCGTATAACTCAAAATTTTAGAAAAAACGAAAGAATAAAAAATAATAAAAATTTAACCCACATCATCATATTTATCGAATTCATAACCCTTCAGAAGAGCATCAGGAATGTTGGGCTTCCAACTGAACTGGTACTCTTTGGCCATTCTTGAGAAAGGCCTCACATGCCTCTCTCACATCACCCAATGACTTTCTAAATTAAACGTTATAACACACTAAAATTATTTTAAGATTCATGATGCGTGCACCCATATCATGGGAAAGTAATTGTTTCAGACAAACGAAATGATTTAATCTTAAAAAAAGCACTAATAAATTACTGAAAAAGTGCATGATATTAAAACATTCACCAACCAGACACTACATTCCCTCTTCAATTAATAGAAGGTATAGTACCAACCAGATATTAGCATTACTGTTACTTTTAATGACAAATATAAAAACGAACAAGACGAATCATAAATTATGGAGAATGCTACAATCAACATTATTAAATCCACAAATCAGGAAGAAACGCAATATAATAACCTATCAGTAATTAAAAGTCTGAATAACAATTGCAGTCGGAGATTTAAACAAATTCTTTAAATTACTATTATTTACTAAACTGATGAGTCAAAGTCTCTTCAAGCACTCTAGCTTTTCCGATTTATGCAAAACGAAAAATGATAAACGTTTAGGGAAAGGAAGCAGTTCAGTTTGCATACCAAATTAAAAACATCCAAGATAACTTTCCTTACGAGTCATCATTAAGAGCCCTGAGAAAAAAAGTAAACATCTGGATACGCCAATACATGCACAATGAAATTTTTAAGCAATTTTAAAATAAATTTTTTAATGCATTTAATAGAGGTGCACATCTATGATGAAAGCGCAAATGATCAATTACAAAAGAAGCAATATCCACTCAACATTGCATTTCTTTATACTGCTTTCTATAGAATTATGCAGATGGATATATGAACATATCCCCACACACATACACACATACACACACATACACACACACACACACACACACACACACACACACACACACACACACTAATGCTCATCAATGACGAAATATCGAAAAAGACTTACTTCTAGAATATTTTCACTCTTGCGACTGAACTTTACATGTCAAACGTATATATTCCGATTCAATTCCTAGGATGTAGTCATTCCTGAACATCCATGCCTGTATTAGGTGTCAGTCACATCATTCCATTTATTAATTAATTGATCTAATTAGCAGCTCAATCCAGAAAACTGCTGATGAAAAGGAGACTGCTCTTTGTAACTGCTATTGAGAGGAACATTTTTTGATGAATCGTGCGCCTCTTTTCCTCTCATTGTCACCTGACGGCAAAAAATGGCTCTGAGCACGCAATGACTGCTAATAGCAGAACAATTGAAGAACAGAGCTAACAGAAATCAAGAAAACTAATGAACCGTCAAATGGCCTGGCAATATATGTTATATATTTTCCTACCAAATAAATTTTTCCTAGCACACAATAGGAACGGTTTTCAGAAAACACCATGAATCGCTAACTCGAACAATTCGATTATGGTTGCGGTAAATGGAGAGATTGAATCCGACAATAAGTGTAACTGATCGCTCAATAACAAAAGGCAATTGTGCAACTGACTAGAACATTCCAATATCAAAAATAATATATACTATCAACAATTAGTATAGTGAGAAGCTTGCACGATTTGACAGATATGTTAACATGTTGATCGATTTAGGAAATGAGTCCTTGCTCGATCGCTTGATTACCTGGTGACAGATGTTCAAATCAAAATGGGAAATTTTTTAACTCTATAAGCACACACTCCTGCAAAACAAACAACCCTTTTCACTAAAGCAATTGAGCAATGGATATTAAAATCATATACGTCATTCAAATTCTACATTGCAGCTCACAATAATCAAAATCTGCAACGAAGTCGGAATAACGGTATTACAAATTAGGTATCGGTAATAAAAGAAATTCTGTTCCATTAGCGCCTCACCCAACTGTTCAGCACATACACATGCGCTAGCAGATGAACATCAATGGACGTAAAGTTGAAATCGATTTCCGATAACATCATTTAATCTGCAGCCAATTGCTTAGTGGTTGTTCAAATCTATTTGTAATTCAAAATAATGCTGTCAGAAATCATTTAAGATTATAAGTTCACCGTGGGTGCAAAATGAAATCAACTACATTGATGCCACAACAACGCTGTCTGGTTTCAAGAAACAAGTCAGAAAAATTGATGAATTTTTCCAAACTTCCTGAGAGAACGAAGATAAAATACT